CCCCCAATGAAAAGCAGGGGTGTCACTAGCACGCTAAGAGACAACACAAGTGCCAGGGGCCCAAGACTATTCAACTGCCTTCCAGCATACATAAGGGGGATTACCAGTAGACCCCTGGCTGTCTTCAAGCAGGCACTGGACAGGCACCTAAAGTCAGTACCTGACCAGCCGGGCTGTGGCTCGTACGTTGGATTGCGTGCAGCCAGCAGTAACAGCCTGGTTGATCAGGCCCTGATCCACCATGAGGTCTGGTCACAGACCAGACCACGGGGGCGTTGACCCCCGGAACTCTCTCCAGGTAAACTCTCCAGACTCTATCTTTTTCTGTTCCGGCTGTAAGGGATTCAGTGTGTAGCACATCAGCTGTAGGGGTTCAATGTAAGGGGTTCATTATTCGAGGTGTCTACCATAAGTCTTGGTTCTATTATACTAGGTTGTGTGTGCAACATGAGAGATGTTAGAGGCTCATTGTAGGTTGTGTGCCCCGTGCCAGATGTAGGGGCTCAAGACTACTTCAGTTTTCATGCATAATTACGCTTTAACTTACAAATCATAGTGGGTGGACCACTAGTCTGTTGTGTTCCTCATCATATTTACCCAACGACTCTTCCCTTAAGGGAGGTTCCTATGTGCTGGTGGTGGTGGTGGTGGTGGTGGTGGTGGTGGTGGTGGTGGTGGTGGTGGTGGTGGTGGTGGTGGTGGTTGGTGGTGGTGGTGGTGGTGGTGGTGGTGGTGGTGGTGGTGGTGGTGGTGGTGGTGTGGTGGTGGTGGTGGTGGTGGTGGTGGTGGTGGTGGTGGTGGTGGTGGTGGTGGTGGTGGTGGTGTGGTGGTGGTGGTGGTGGTGGTGGTGTGGTGGTGGTGGTGGTGTGTGGTGGTGGTGGTTGGTGGTGGTGGTGGTGGTGGTGGTTGGTGGTGGTGGTGGTGGTGGTTGGTGGTGGTGGTGGTGGTGGTGGTGGGTGGTGGTGGTGGTGGTGGTGGTGGGTGGTGGTGGTGGTGGTGGTGGTGGTGGTGGTGGTGGGTGGTGGTGGTGTGGTGGTGGTGGTGGTGGTGTGTGGTGGTGTTGGTGGTGGTGGTGTGGTGGGTGGTGGTGGTGGTGGTGGTGGTGGTGGTGGTGTGTGGTGGTGGTGTGTGGTGGTGGTGGTGGTGGTGGTGGTGGTGGTGGTGGTGGGTGGTGGTGTGGTGGTGGTGGTGGTGGTGGTGGTGGGGTGGTGGTGGTGGTGGTGTGGTGGTGGTGGTGGTGGTGGTGGTGGTGGTGGTGGTGGTGGTGGTGGGTGGTGGTGGTGGTGGTGGTGGTGGGTGGTGGTGGTGGTGGTGGTGGTGGTGGTGTGGTGGTGGTGGTGGTGGTGGTGGTGTGGTGGTGGTGGTGGTGGTGGTGTGGTGGTGTGGTGGTGGTGGTGGTGGTGGTGGTGGTGGTGGTGTGGTGTGGTGGTGGGTGGTGGTGGTTTGGTGGGTGGTGGGTGGTGGGGGTGGTGGTGGTGGTGGTGGGTGGTGGTGGTGGTGGTGGTTGGTTGGGTGGTGGGTTTCTTATTGCTTGAATCAAGCCTGGGGGGTAGCGGTAACCCCCGCCCCCCTCCATCCCATACGGGATTTCCACTACTCATGAATGCAATAATAATAATAATAATAATAATAATAATAATAATAATAATAATAATAATAATAATAATAATACCCAGGGGTTTTCTTAACCTATTTCTATTCTGTTGTGATCTTCCTTCCCACTTCATTACCATATACTATGGTCAAAAATCCAGGTAAGTTAGGTAATATAATGCACATAGACATTCTCTCTACCATGTCTTACTTCTATCTTAGTCTTATTTAATCTTTGGTTTTTATTTCACTTATTATTATTATTAAAGATTCGCCGGTATTCTCCCGGCCCGGGCCTTTTCCAAGTGGTGGCCCGGCCTTGACTCCCTGTCTTGGGAGTGTCTGAGACCTAAGTCTCCCATGGGAGGAGGTACAAGTACCTCCTCATCTTTGGGACCAACTGTCCCCAGGCCTAGCCACAAGCTAGGCCTCTCTGGTCTGCCATCCCCGCCCCAAGGGGGTTAATGTGAATGACAGTCTTGTGAGCTGCAAGCTCTGGCTCAGGCACCTACCCTGCCCTAGAAGGGCTAGGCATGGCGTCGATTTTTTTTATTTCACTTGTATTATTTATTATTAAAGATTAGCCGGTATTCTCCCGGCCCGGGCCTTTTCCAAGTGGTGGCCCGGCCTTGGCTCCCTCTTTAGGGAGTGTCTGAGACCTAAGTCTCCCATGGGAGGAGGCACAAGTACCTCCTCATCTTTGGGACCAACTGTCCCCAGGCCTAGCCACAAGCTAGGCCTCTCTGGTCTGCCATCCCCACCCCAAGGGGGCAAATGGGAATGACAGTCTTATGAGCTAAAAGCTCGGGCTCAGGTACCTACCCTACCCTAGAAGGGTTAGGCATGGTGTCGATCGTTTTATTTCAAGTTTAATTTACTTTCTATATGCAATTAATAAAAAAAACATTCCTCTTAATTCTTGCTTATGGTATATTAATTTCCACTGTACTTAAATTTCACTATACTTTTATTAGATGACTCATTCTATATCGACTTAATTTTTTACTTTTGTTCCGGCACCTACTGCTGATATTTTTATATAACTTTTATATATATCGTGCCGAATAAACTGAATCAGTGAGTTTGCCTATAAAAACAATTCATCATCGCCGATAGAGCAGTGGAAATTTGTTTATGCAATAAATTTGCAGAAATCTATCCGAACATAACGAGAAAAAAATCTTTTATGTTAATATAAAATAATTTAAACTTAGGTACATGTTTAATAGAATCAGGTAAAACATAAATAACGTTCATTATAACAAAATCAGGTGAAGTCTTAAAGTTACCCCTTGATGCAAAACTCATTTTTTACTCGATTTTAAGTGAAAAAAATATTTCCGAATTCATAATTTTTTTTTTTGAAAATTTAAATTTTTAGGGCAGTTCTGCCTGTTTGACTAATTCGGCTTATTAGGCACATATTTGCAGGACAACCACTGTGAAAAACAGTGAAATTCCAAGCGATTTCGTGATTTATCATATTATTGTCTTATATTATCAATGACAGAAATCACGAAATCGCTTGGAATTTCACTATTTTTCGCAGTGGTTGTTCTGCATATTGTGATGTCACCTGTTTATTGTGATCTTAGAGGGTATATATATATATATATATATATATATATATATATATATATATATATATATATATATATATATATATATATATATATTATCACACTGGCCGATTCCCACCAAGGCAGGGTGGCCCGAAAAAGAAAAACTTTCACCATCATTCACTCCATCACTGTCTTGCCAGAAGGGTGCTTTACACTACAGTTTTTAAACTGCAACATTAGCACCCCTCCTTCAGAGTGCAGGCACTGTACTTCCCATCTCCAGGACTCAAGTCCGGCCTGCCGGTTTCCCTGAACCCCTTCATAAATGTTACTTTGCTCACACTCCAACAGCACGTCAAGTATTAAAAACCATTTGTCTCCATTCACTCCTATCAAACACGCTCACGCATGCCTGCTGGAAGTCTAAGCCCCTCGCACACAAAACCTCCTTTACCCCCTCTCTCCAACCTTTCCTAGGCCGACCCCTACCCCGCCTTCCTTCCACTACAGACTGATACACTCTCGAAGTCATTCTGTTTCGCTCCATTCTCTCTACATGTCCGAACCACCTCAACAACCCTTCCTCAGCCCTCTGGACAACAGTTTTGGTAATCCCGCACCTCCTCCTAACTTCCAAACTACGAATTCTCTGCATTATATTCACACCACACATTGCCCTCAGACATGACATCTCCACTGCCTCCAGCCTTCTCCTCGCTGCAACATTTATCACCCATGCTTCACACCCATATAAGAGCGTTGGTAAAACTATACTCTCATACATTCCCCTCTTTGCCTCCAAGGACAAAGTTCTGTCTCCACAGACTCCTAAGTGCACCACTCACTCTTTTCCCCTCATCAATTCTATGATTCACCTCTTCTTTCATAGACCCATCCGCTGACACGTCCACTCCCAAATATCTGAATACATTCACCTCCTCCATACTCTCTCCCTCCAATCTGATATTCAATCTTTCATAACCTAATCTTTTTATCCTCATAACCTTACTCTTTCCTGTATTCACCTTTAATTTTCTTCTTTTGCACACCCTACCAAATTCATCCACCAACCTCTGCAACTTCTCTTCAGAATCTCCCAAGAGCACAGTGTCATCAGCAAAGAGCAACTGTGACAACTCCCACTTTATGTGTGATTCTTTATCTTTTAACTCCACACCTCTTGTCAAAACCCTCGCATTTACTTCTCTTACAACCCCATCTATAAATATATTAAACAACCACGGTGACATCACACATCCTTGTCTAAGGCCTACTTTTACTGGGAAATAATTTCCCTCTTTCCTACATTAACTTGAGCCTCACTATCCTCGTAAAAACTCTTCACTGCTTTCAGTAACCTACCTCCTACACCATACACTTGCAACATCTGCCACATTGCCCCCCTATCCACCCTGTCATACGCCTTTTCCAAATCCATAAATGCCACAAAGACCTCTTTAGCCTTATCTAAATACTGTTCACTTATATGTTTCACTGCAAACACCTGGTCCACACACCCCCTACCTTTCCTAAAGCCTCCTTGTTCATCTGCTATCCTATTCTCCGTCTTACTCTTAATTCTTTCAATAATATATATATATATATATATATATATATATATTTTATATATATATATATATATATATATATATATATATTTACACCCTATATGCATACATATAATAGTGCAAATTTAGATTTTTTTTATAATATTTTCATTACTATGAAATAATATTTGTTTTCCTCCTGATAGGAAAAAGTGAGTAGTAAAACAATGTTGTATCACTAATTCAATAATACAATATAGTCAATATTTACTTTATTGAAAAGCTCATTATTCCAGAGTATAATTTACATTGATATGGCTGAATAGAGGAAAAAATGATGCAAATAAAAAAACATTTACAATTGACATATATACAAAAAACTCACCTCCTTGTTTACACGTGATGTTGACCTGTTTACACCACAGAATTGTGATACGCCTATGTACACAAGTTGACATGTAAATAATAAAATACATGGGAACGGAGGAGGAGCTGACGAGAGTAAGTGAATGAGGAGCTAGAGTGGACAAGAGGCACGAGGAGGGTGATAAAATGTGTGAGGAAAGATAAAGAATAATTGATATGGTAAACGATTTTTTCAGTATGTTTATAAAGGTTCAACGTTTACAAGAGTGAGGGAGATTAACTGAGGGAGGGGAGACAAGGGGAGAGAGAGAGAGAGAGAGAGAGAGAGAGAGAGGGGGGGGAAAGGTTGCCAGACCCAGGAGCTATACAACAAGGCTTTCCACTTCCGTCGTGGTCAGCACCTCCCTTACAAAATTTGTAGAGTAAAACACTAACCATCGGTTGGCAACACTATTTAAAGCACAATAGGTACTTACGGACTATTTATATTTTTTAAATATATATATTTATATAATTTTGCTAAGAATTACTTTATACAAAATATATACAAGTAAGCGTACACGCATGTGAAACAAACACGCACGCACGCGCGCACACGCACATACACACATAGCAAAAATAATTTTTAATATATTTATTTATATGTTTATAAATTATGAAGCCCAGTGAATTTTCTGCTATAGGAAAGACACTTTTGAGAAGTCAATAAGCAGCTGCAGTGGCGGCATAATTTCCATAATAAGTTTACAAAATTGAAATGAAAGGAATATTCTGCACCTCGGGACAGCAGCTGCTTCAACTTGCAACAGTCTCTCTACCCCCAGGATGTGTATTTCTCAGTGTTTATACACTGAGGGATGAAAGTAACATTCGTGTCAGTATCAAGGTGGGTTAATGATCAACTGGTAGTTATTAAAACTAATGTTTTTTTATGGCCCAGGTTAGAGCAAGGGTGTAGAGTGCCTGGCGGTGAAGGGAGATCAGTGGTCCAGGAGCTACATATAGATAAGCGAAGGTAAAGATGTGGGTGATGAAGGTTAACGAACAATTATTCTGAAGCTGGAGGGCAAGGCTGGAAAGAATGAAATTTAGTGAGATGAATAATAAATAATGCAGGCGATGAAAAGTAACAACGGTGAAACTGAAAGAAGAAAGAAGTAGAGATGGAGTTAGTAACACACAAGCGGAATTCGAGAATGTTTCAGGTATCAAATTACACACAAAAACCTTCCACGATTAACATCAAAATAATCTAGTAAAGTCTCGAAGATATTAATTACAACTAAAAAAAATATGCACACTAAGTTGTTTAAATCTTGCACTAGATTATGAGAGAGTTCGGTTCTAGTGCTACATGTCTATTGTTTACATTGTAGTGGTTGATTAACTGATTGCTTCACACGGTTTACATTAGTTACACTAACTAGGAAAAAATCACAACCATTTTTGTTTAGACTCTGACAAAACTCCTTGTCACTTGACATATCTTTCTCGGATTTAGTGATGTCCAAAGTCTTCACGCAGCCCAGGATACTGTGTCAAGCAGCTTCTGTACAACCCTTTCTGAAGTTAAATAATTTTCCTACACATTACAGTTCGTCAGTGTGTCTGTACATGAGGTCCTCGTATCAACTGCTTGTTATTGAAGCCAGACACCACCTTGCTGGTGCTGTAGTCTTGATTCAAGGACTGAACTTGTCCTTGAAGCAAATGCTCATTAAAGTTACTAACACAACTTTTTAAAGTGATGAACTTACTGTATTCATGAATGAAAGCTATTAAAAGAACCAAAGTTCATGGAAAAATCTAACATGAAAGCACTGAAATTTTAAGAGTTCATTAGGAATATTAACATGACAGCATGAAATGCGCAAATGGCAATATTATCAGAAAAATATATATTTATACACCATTATTTTTCAATGTATGCAGAACATTACATATCACCATATAATACTAGAGTTCGTCCCCAGCTGATGAGAGTGAATAACCGACATACTGTGAAAAATATTGCACCTAAGACTTGGGGACGAGAGCATGCTATCACCTCATCGAGTCTTTAAATCTATACATATAATCCCTTCACAGTCAGGAAAAATAATATCTCTTGGTACTTAATATGCAAGTTCAGTACGATAGCGCACAGCTGCCTTGTTTTCAGACTTGTGACAAGGCGTGAGTGACTTGTACAAGCGAAGGATCAGTATGAAGGCTGCAGCATCGTGACAATTCCCTGAGCTAGAAATGTGATGACAGCTAGCACTGACATCACCAAGCGGGGTCCTGGTGCCCTGTAGTGCCTTTCTCTCCCTCGTCTACCCTTCTCCATGAGACAGCTATTGCAACCCCTTAGCATAGTACCCACTGACTCGCCCATTCTCACTGGGAGTTACAACTACCCGATAGGACATTCCCGCTATGTGCTTTCCTTGCTCGTGGGTTCCAACTCTCCTTATCCCTTTCCTCCTTTAAGTGCCCCTACTCCACCTCCCTTTCACAAAAACAAAAGGCACTCTTAGTTCTTAGGACGCAAGATTGGCTATTTCAGAACTGTCAAAGACTCTGCTCGTGGTATCGTTTGCTCTTTGCATATTCGCAAACGTTCAATTTGGTGGGCCAGATTGTGCAGGGTAGAGAGGGAGATTGTGTGGGCAATCACTACCTTAGGGGCATTAGCGCCGTCTGGAGTTAAGAGAGTCGGGGCTGTGTATAATAGCCAGATTACGCCACTACCAGGTGTGATAAGAGGAACCCTGAGAACGTTTGGCAAACCCGGCACAATAGCCGTGCTAGGAAGCCTCCCGGCTTGTTGCTGGGTGGCGTTCATCCTGCCACCGCTCACGGCCAGGGCTCAGGTTAAAGCTCTGGAGGGCACTGATGCCCAGACCGTGGTCTTACGAGGGACTCTGTGTGGTGGCGGGTAGCGCTTGCGCCTTGGACTTGGTAGCAGAGGTAGGCACCTGCAGTGGCTGAGAAGCACTGCTTCCGCTGCTTACAGACCCAGGAGACTCTGGCTTGGTGGTGACGCTGCCGCTACCACTACTGCTGCCACCGCCGTTGCTGCCACCAGAGCTGCCGCCAGTACTGCTGATGTTAGCCGTCGAGTCTGAATCGTTGCTGTTTTCACTTGGCGTAGAGACGGTAGGAGGGTCAGGTGCGATGAGACCTTCTTTCATGCGCTTCTTCTGCTTCATACGGCGATTCTGGAACCATATTTTGACTTGAGTTTCGTTGAGTTGCAATGCCGAGGCGATCTCGATGCGTCTTGCTCTGGTGAGGTACTTGTTGAAGTGGAACTCCTTCTCCAGCTCCGTCAACTGTTTCGTCGTGAAGTTGGTGCGTCCCGTCCCACCGCCGAATCCGCCGTAGTCCGTCTTGGGCGCTGTAACCAAGCAAACACGTTAGTGCATCTAGTAAATTATGAAGTTCCGTATATGAGAGTTGTATGAACCTTAAAGGTTAAACACTTTGTGTGAATAAGATAATCCATATATGAGGATTCTTAAGAAATTATTGTTACAGGCCTGCTGCAGACACTGATACAGGCACTGTACTGCCTGTAAGAAATTAATTTGCTAGTAAACCATTATTAATAACTATTTAATTTTAATGCTACTATTATTAACGATGTAATATATTATTAATAAAGCACCAGACTAGTTAATGGTTTACCATTGATTATATGTATTAAGGGGGATGAATGGAGATTTTATTTATATATATATTAAGGGGGATGAATGGAGATTTTATATATATATATATATATATGAAAAACATACACATACACTACAAGTTTACTTAAATTTCTCCTCTCATGAGAGGTGACATGATGGAGATAAGAAACTCTTAATACAAGAAAATTGATCTATCCTCCCATTCCTTGGATAGACTCCGAGTGCCTCTCATTCCTCTTGTGTAATATGACCTATACCTAAGAGTTATGCCTGTTAAAAAGGTACCTCCATCCACCAGTTATAGAGGTACTTCCCACCTGTTACAAAGGTACCTCCAACCAACTGTCATGGTCCCTCATGTAAAATTAAACCAAGTCATCCCGTCCCCAAATCACTGCTGTGATTTAAATGTGATACTTAAACAAGAATACCTGAGAAACAGTGGTGGTGGAAGATACGAACGAGTGTGGTGCATGATAGGTGTTGGTGATGGTGTTAGGCTGTGGTGGTGCTGGCAGCGATAGATGGTAGTGGATGGAGACGGATTCATCAATCTCTGGGAGTCGGGCATGTTAGACTCTTCTAAGAATGCCACTGTTTAGTCATGAGTGTGCTTCACGCTCTTCCCCGGCGTGTGTAACCGATACGTATTTGTCCCCTTTTGTGTTGCTGGTTTGTTAAACTCATTCAGTGTTTGAGTTGGCGTCACGGTGAGCGCCTCCTCTCACCACCACGGAGGCCAACCTTACTCCACTATTTTCACGGTACTTTGCACGTTGGAGCACCGTGCAATGGAAAACATATATTCTCATTCCCTTTCATTCTCTCGTCACCTCTGGTAATACAAGAAAATTTTTCATATTCATAAGTGTTTTCTTGCAACAGTTTTCCCTCGAAGCACCTTGATGCTGGTTGAGAGGCTCTTATTCCGAGGAACCGGATTTATCCTACCCTCTTTGGATTCTGATTAAATTATAGTAAAGAAATTGAAAAAGTTTAAGGAGCAAGCAGAAGGGCATATTAGACAATCTCGAGGCGAGAATGAAAAAACAAAAGAAGGCAGCGCGTAATTCATTCAACCAGTGTAATTACACCTCTTACAGAATTGACACAGAAAGAAGAACAAAGAAGACAAGAGACAATAGAAGCTCTGAGGAGTATCTTTATACAGTGACTATACAACACACACACACACACACACACACACACACACACACACACACACACACACACACACACACACACACACACAGCTCCCCCCTCCCAACCTACCTACCTGACCCAGGATCTTGAATCATATTTACACCATCTGCATTATTACACATCTTCTCACTCACATTAACACCAGTAAAAATGAGTCACAGTAGCGTACATCTTGTCGTTTTATAGCTCGATCATGTCCTGTCCAACGTCATACAAGCGACCGTATATGTGTATATAACATTCATCACATTCATCACATATAATATACAGCAGCGAGAAGGGTATAGGTGATGTGCTGAAGCATCTGCTGAAAGACGTTCATCTATGGAGGCAAAGAGGGAATGTATCAGCGTAGTGTTGACAGGCAGATGCTCGTTGACTCTCCTTGGATTTTTAGGGCAAAAATTGAGGAAAGTCTTATTATTTTATAAGAAAGAAAATTCAGCAAATGCTCTTATGAGAAACTCACTCGATACAGAATTTTTGCTAGTGACTTCATGGGTCGAAAACATTAGACATTTACTTGGGAAGTGTAGGGCCTTTTGGACACTACAGACAAAAAAAAAAAAAGCATCAAGTTATTCAGGGTTCGGTATACATGGGCGTTTGGGCACATCTTTCTCCTTCCCCAGCCGCCTCCTAGCAAGTGCTCCTGCCTCTCTTCTCTCTCGGTGTAGCTTACGGCTTGCAGCTGATTGTGGAAAACATGTTAACTGTTTGCTCACGATTTAAGCCTTTTCGTTTACTTAGCGGTTGTGTGTGTAGCACTCAATGAACTTTTAGGAGAGGCTTGCGATATTAAAATTGATGGGATGTTTACCTGATGCTAGATTTTTAATTAGGATTAATAGCATTTATGTTTACTAACGCTAATAAGTTTAATCTTGCATTGGATTCGATTATGTGTATATCTGTTTTTAATTGCTAAGAGTACTCAAGGGAAACTCCGATGAAAGCTCTCCAGGTCTGGAAAGTGCCTACTTAGTAGTGAAAAGAATTGCTTTGGTATTAGTCAGCTATTATGGGTCACATCATGGAGCTAAAAAGCTAAGTACTTATAATGAGGACAGAACATCATAGCATAGTTTGCTCTTGTAACTACAGATGGATAATTGAGCATGCACACACACACACACACACACACAAACTTATTTTCAAATTAAACAGTGCGAAACAGGATCCTGCCGCAGAAACCACGACTAAAAGACTCGTCAGATTACCAGCAGGTGTACTTTGACCACGACAGAACACAGAGAACAACAGAAAGAGGGGGATACAAAGACGCAAGAGGCAGGGAAGAGAGGCAAGGATAGAGATGGGCAGGGAAGCCTAGACTCAGGAGGACCAGCAAATACAACTTCTCTTAGAATCACCCATAGAATTCCTTCAACCAAACAGATTAACCCAAAACAATCCACACTCCACACCCACAGCCCCCATCCCCACATCACAAACTCCACCCTCACATAGTATCCTGCCAGGTCTCTCACTCCCCAGCCCCCAGAAACCCCCCAGAGCACAATTTAAAAAAAAAAAGCTGAAGGTATGGTACACCAACGCAGACTGAATAACATGGGGATAACAGATGCGATCTTCCCATCAGGATATCAGATCCTGAGGAAAGAGAGGGAAGAGAGGGGAAGGAGAAGTTGCACTGCTCATTAAAAACCAGTGGAGTTTTGAGAGGGAAGCAAGGGATTACATAGGAGGAACATTTCAGATGGGGGTCCCAAGGTGGTGATTGGAGTGATGTACAACATGCCATAGAACAGCAGGAGCTCATGACGAGAATATGAGGAGAGCAACAGAGCAATGATGGACATACTAGGTGAGGTGGCTAGGATGGCCCTTATGGGTAGGCCAGTTACTAGGTATGGGTGATTTCAGTCACAAGGAGATTGACTGGGAAAACCTGGAGTCACATGGGGGACCAGAAACATAGAGAGCTAAGATGATGGAAGTGATTCTGGGAAACCTCATGCATTAACATATTAGGGACACCACCAGAGAGAGAGAGAGAGAGAGAGAGAGAGAGAGAGAGAGAGAGGAGAGAGAGAGAGAGAGAGAGAGAGAGAGAGAGAGAGAGAGAGAGAGAATGAACCACCAAGGTTGGACCTCATATTCACCTTGAGTAGTTCAGACATTGAGGACATCACATACGAAAGGCCTCTCGGAGCTAGTGATCACAAGGTCCTGAGTTTCGAGTACATTGTACAGTTAAAAGTGGAGACTGAAGCAGCACGTGTAGGATGGGAGAAGCCAAACTACAACAGAGGGGACTACACAGGATTGAGGAATTTCTTGCATGCGGTACAGTGGGAAAGAGAACTGGTGGAAAAAACAGTAAATGAATTGATGGAATGCGCGACTGCAAAATGCGAGGCAGAGGAAAGGTTGCACCCAAGGGCAACAGAAACAATGGAAAGATCAGAACGAGCTCTTGGTTCATCCAGAGGTGTAGAGAGGCAAAAACTAAGTGCGCTAGAGAATGAAAGAAGCATAAAAGACAAAGGACTCAGGAAAATAAGGAGATTAGCTGAAGAACTGGAAGCAAATATGCATTGATAAGGAGGGAGGCCCAGCGACAATACGAGAAAGACAGCCTCGAAAGCCAAATCTGACCCGGACGGACATCTCTCTGTGGGTCTTGAGAGAGAGGGACCAGAAGCACTGCGTGTGTGTGTTCGTGCGCCACCAGGAACAATCTTCAACACATCTATCGAAATAGGGCAGCTACTGAGGTGTTTTAGACAGCAAATGTAGTCGCAAGCTTTAAAAACAAGACACAGATAGGTAGTATCACGCTACAGACTAGTGTCACTCACATGTATAATATGCAAAGTCATGGAGAAACTTATCAGAAGTAAAATGTTGGAGCACCTAGAAAGGAATGAGCTTATACAAGATAACCATCACCGTCTCAGGGAGGGAAAATCTTGCGTAACACACCTACTGGAGTTTTACGACAATGTGACAGAAAACAGGAGAGAACAGAGTGGGTAGACTGCATTTTCTTGAACTGCAAGAAGGCTTTCGACACAGTTCCGCGCACGAGATTAGTGCAAACGTTAGAGGATTAGGCAGGAATAACAGGAAAGGCACTGCAATGGATCAGAGAATACCTGATAGGAAGGAAAGAACGAGTGATGGTGTCAGAGTTGGCGCCTGTAACGAGCGGGCGTTCCATAAGGGTCAGTCCTAGGACTGGTGCTGTTTCTAATATATGTGAATAACATGACGGAATGGATAGATTCAGAGGTGTCCCTTTTTGCAGATGATGTGAAGCTAATGCGGAGAATTCAAGTGGATGAGGATCATGTAGGACTGCAAAGGAATCTGGACATGCTGCGAGCCTGGGCCAATAACTGGCTCATGGAGTTTAACCTCACCAAGTGTAAAGTCATGAAGATTGGGGAAGGTCAAAGAAGATCGCAGACAGAGTAGAGGCTATGGGAGCCGAAGACTGCAAACCTCACTCAAGGAAAAGGATCTTGGAGTGAGTATA